ATGGAAACAGAACCTTCGGTCCAACCAGTCCATGTTGAACATAATCCCAAGCTAAACTTCTTCAAAAAGCTCCATCAAATTTGTAAGACAAGACCTCCCCCACACAAAACCATGCTGAATATCCCAAATAAATCCATTCTTTACTAAATACAAGTAAATCCTGTCCCTGAGAAGCATCTCCAATAATTTCCCTACTACTGATGCAAGGCTCACGGCCTATAATTTCATGAATTGTCCTTGTTGCCCTTCTTAAGTAAAGAAATAACATTGACTATTCTCCAGTTTTCTTGCACCTCACCTGTGGCTAAACAGAATACAAATATCACTGTCATGGCCCTTTACAATCTCCCCCTTTTCCTCCCTCAATATCCTGGGATAGATCCCACCAAGCCCTGGGGGCTTATCTACCTTAACGTTTCCAAGACATCCAACACCACTGCCTCCTTAATATTGACATGTCCTAGAATATCAACATACTCCTTCATATTCTTAAAGTTGTCCATGTCCTTCTTGGTGAATACCAATGTGAAGTACTCATTAAGGACATCACCCACTTTTCCTGGCTCCATTTTCTCTTCGTTTCTTTGTCTTTGAGTCGACCTTACTTTTACCTAGCTACCATCTTGCTGCTAACATAAGTCTGAAATGCCTTGGAATTCTCATTAATCCTACTTGTCACGGACATTTTGTAGACCCTTTTTTGTCTTCCTAATTCCTTGTTTAAGTTCTTTCCTGCTGCCTTTATATTCTTGAAAGATCTTGTCTGATTTCAGTTTCCTAAACCTTACAGATGCTTCATTTTTTGTTTGACTAGACTTTTAATATTTCTTATCATCCAAAATTCGTGAATCTTGCCATCCTTATCTTCCTCACAGGAACATGCTGGTCCTAAACTCTGATCAGCTGGCCTTTAAAAGACTCCCATATTTTAGTTGTGGATGTACCCTCAAAAAGCCACCCCCAAATATAATTTCTCCTGTTCCTGCCTAATATTGTCATAATTAGCCTTCCCCGAGTTTAGCACTTTCACCCAAGGGACCATAACTATCTTAGAACTTACAGAATTATGATCATTGTTCCAAAATGCTTTCCCACTAAAACTTCGATTGCCTGGCCAGGCACATTCACCAATACAGTTCTAGTAAGGCCCCTTCCCTAATTGGACCATCTACATATTGTTTTAAGAAGCCCTCCTGGATGCATCTAACAAATCCTGTCCCATCTAAGCCCCTGGCACTAAGGGAGTCCCCGTCAGTATTGGGAATGTCAAAATAACCATGTTTTAACATGTTTCCACGATCTGCCTACATATCTATTTCTCTATCTCCCATTCGTTATAGAAGGCCTACATTAGGACCCCATCATAGTGATTTCATATTCTTTCTTAATCCTGAGTTCTACCCATATGGCCTCGCTGGATGAGTCCTCCAAGATGTCCTGTCTCGGTGTAGCCCTCCTTAATCAGTAATGCAAGTCCCCCACCCCTTTTACATTCCTTCCTATAATGCCTGAAACATAGAATCTCTGGAACACTGACCGCCAGTTCTGCCTTTCTCTCAAGCAAGTTTCTGTCATGC